TTCCTCACCCTAAAACTTGGTCTTAGAAGCAGACGCTGCAGGGGCCTTCCCAGAGTTAGGGGCATTCACAGGAGAGGAAGGGTTGGTTGTCAGTGGATCCTCCAGTCTGTCTGAAGTGCTGCTGCTAGAAATAATCTTACATTTGTGTTACCTCAGATTACTCATTCGGCAAATTCTGCCAAGCCTTCAGGTCGTAACCAGATTAACTCATACACTGTTGGAACTGGGTTTTATCAAATAGTGTTTAATTAGTGGCTTGCTTTCCTCATATGGTGTTTAACTAGTGATTGGAAATTTTTTAGCTAATAGTTACCTTTCTCTTCAACTTTGTTCAGAGTGATTTCTGTACTGTTTTGTCGTATCAGCACCGTTTCCTACTTCAGAATTTTCTTTATCCTTAGAACAATTAAACTGTCACTTCCCAGCAGTTAGGTGTACACGGGCCAACGTTCGCCTATTCCACCTAGCACTCATTTCGGCTTGCCATCAAATACAGTAGGCTTGCATGACTTCCCGTGGCCATTTCTAGCCTGACATTGTTGGCCAACTACACGCATGGGTTTTACCTAGAGCACAGGAGACTTTCAGACCTGAAGTCTGAGATACCCAAGTGCTGTTGCCATTCATGCAGCATCAGGATTCACTATCCATGTTGTCACATGAAGTACTGATGTACCTGTGGGACCCAGTGCATGGACGTTGTGAGAGGTTCCGGTCATGTACATACAAAAAAGTCAAGGTTATTAGTTTCTGATGTTTTATTAGGCTACTTTGGTGGGAAAAGTCAGTAATGCTTAAAATTAGTGCACTTCAATGATTTCACATTGAAAGTCTAAAATGTCTCTACTTAAACATTAATGTTTTTTCTTCAACAAAATCTATTAAGGACTCAAGCGGGATGACGCTGGTGATGCTGGCCGCAGCCGGAGGACAGGACGACCTGCTGAGGCTCCTGATCGGGAAGGGGGCCCGGGTGAACGGGCGGCAGAGGAACGGGGCCACCGCCCTCATCCACGCAGCCGAGAAGGTTGGGCAGCTTTAAAATTTACATTCCTGTTCATCTGTCCTTGTCATAGGTGGGAGTTGTACCAACAGCAGCAGTTTGTATTGAGTTTTCAAATGTGATTTTCTAGTTGGCAGTATCATGTTGAAAAAGCACCTCTGACCAAGGCACCAACACCAATCTCTCAGTCTTGGGCCTTTTTAAAAATCTTTTCCTATTGAAATTAAGTGTCCCTTTGGTTAACAACTTACTGTCCCCACATTACCTTTCTGGAGGGCGGCTGTGCACAGGGTCCTACGGGGAAGCCAGTGGTTGTTAGGCTTTAGGTTGACACTGCTGGCCAGATTGAGTGTGGCCATGCCCCAGACTCCAGTGCCTCCCCCCTGGGGAGTGCACAGCGTAGAATCACTGTCCGCACCAACCTGGGGGAGGCTGAGTGGACGTGTGACAACGTCTTGTCGGGAGTTTGGGGAGTTAACTTGCATTTTCTCTTTAATAGAATTTCTTGACCACAGTGGCTATCCTTTTGGAAGCAGGAGCCTTCGTCAACGTCCAGCAGAGCAACGGGGAGACAGCGCTCATGAAGGTGAGGGGGCCGAGGGCGGGGAGCAGTGAGGGACAGAAGGGACATCAAAGACTGCTGGGTTGTGCACCTCATGGTGGGTGTGGCGTGGACAAGTGTGGGGATGGGGAGGGCATGGAGGCTGCAGGCTGGCTCCCGTCACTGTGTGGTGTTGGGTGCGTTGTCTCAGCCTTGGGTCACTCCGTGTTGGACGTGGGCGTGGCAGGCAGGCTGTGTGGCGTGCCGCTGGAGCGCGCGCCCTCCACAGTCAGCGCATCTGCAGGGGCGAGTCCAGTGCGCCACTTTTTCCCACGACAGCTGTAGACTCTTGCTCAGGTTCTGTGGGGACAGAGAGGGCACAGCTTTGGCCAACCACCGCCTCCCTGGACTCAGCGGTGGAGCCCACTGCAGTGTCAGCAGAGCCACCGAAGTCGCTGTGGGGGGCAGCCAGCGGCAGCTGTGTAGTGCGTCCTCTCTGGCCCGCAACAGTGTTGGTCCGGGAGCCCACCCCCGCATCCCTTACGTGTGTCTGGTGCTGCGCATGGTCAGGGTGGCAGTCAGGGCAGGGAGTCCGTCTGGCTGAGACACCACCAGGTGTGTTCTAAGCAGGTATACCCAGGACGGCCCTGAACCTGTCAGTGCTGTCCTAGGCTGACTGTGCCCACGTGTGTCTCCTGGAGAAGCTCCTGGGGATTTTGAAATTTTATGCCACGAGGTGCTTAGGGGTGCCCCATGTGACCTCTGGGCGCCTCTGCTGAGATGTCGCCCCCAGGACGGAGGACACGGGTAGAGGTGGAGCAGCAGCGCTAAGGCCCGCAGTCCTTTCCCCTGGGGGCACAAGTGTCTCCTGGAGAGACAGGAAGGAATTGCGTGTAGTCTGTGCTGTCCCCTCCCATTTGTGTCGACGCTTTCTGACACTTGGGAGACCCACCCCGGGTCCGTTCCCCAGCTGCCTCTACCCCTCACGTGGGGCCCAGGTGTGGAGGAAGGGAGGGACGCGGCCTGGCAGTCACCGCATCTCAATGGCTGTTCTTGGACGTAGGCCTGTAAGAGAGGGAACTCGGACATTGTGCGCCTGGTGATCGAACGTGGCGCTGACTGCAATATCCTGTCCAAGCACCGGAACAGTGCCATGCACTTCGCCAAGCAGAGTGACAATGTGCTGGTGTACGACCTGCTCAAGAGCCACCTGGACACGTAAGTGGCCCGTGCCTGGGGCCCGCCACGTTACATCGCGGCGGCCTGCCCATGCCCGCTGAGGAAGCGGTCCTGATGGGCTTCCATTCTCAGGCTACAAATTCAAGTGGCATGTGAGTGACTTTCCTGCGAGCTGCCGAGTCCCAGGAACTTCCAGACCGGAGGAGGAGGAGGAGGTCTCAGCAGGACAGTGTAGATTTTAGTCATGCTCCCACTGTGGCTCAAAAACAGTTTCTTAGAACGCTTTAAATTTTATTCTGTAATAGAGATAATTTTTGAGCACTTTCAGGTTCGGTGACATGGAGCAGAAAGCAGATTTTCTTTTCCATGCCCCTCCTGCCCCAGGCAGGCATAGCCAACCCCCACTGTCAGCACCCTGCCAGTGGGGCTGGGGCAGTTAATGAACCTGTGTGGACAGCAGCACCTGTGGTCCCTAGCTTATGTCACAGACTTTCCTTACCTGAGAGGACAGTGTCACTGCCCTGAAGACCCTGCTCCTTGTAGTCACCCCTCCCTCTCCCCAACCCCGGCTGACACGAATGCTTTTATCGTCTCCATAGATGTGGTAGAGCTGCAATCATAGTGTCACCTTCTCAGACTGGCTTGGCTTCCATCACTTACTGATGGCATCTGAGTTTCCTCTGTGGCTTCTCATGGCCTGACAGCTGCTTCCCATTTAGTGCCGAGTGTCAGTCCTTCCTCTCCATCTGGATGCCTCAGTTTGTCCAATCACATTCATTCTTTTCTTGAAAGTTCATACATGTAATTCAGTAGCTGGTCACCACATCTGGCAGGAGGTGTGCTTTGTCACCGCAGCAGAGTCAACAATGGCCACTGTCCCCTCTCCCTCATTTGCAATGACTGCACAGTGGCTCCTTCAGTTCCAAGTATACAATCTATGGTCTAGGCAGAAAGGAAAATACATTTAGTAGACAAGAAGGGGCCATGTGCCCGCTCAGCCCCCAGTAATTCCTGTGGGCATCTGTGGCTGCAATGGTCCCAGGAAGCCTACCCGTCCCCGCCTGTCCATGGGGGTAAGTCACAAACAGGCGGCAGGTGACCAGCCTTCCCATGTGCACGAGACGAAGGGCCCGCTAAGATGCTGGATTTTGCTTAACTGACTAAATTAAGAGTCCTGGGGCCTCAAGGGTCCTGGGGCTTAACCTCCAGAATGAGACTGTCCCCGGGGAACTAGACCTTGCTGAGTTTGCCTGCCTGCTTCCCCTCCCACACAGGCTGTCCCGAGTCGCAGAGGAGACTATCAAGGACTACTTCGAAGCACGCCTCGCTCTGCTGGAGCCGGTCTTCCCCATAGCCTGTCACCGTCTCTGTGAGGGGCCAGATTTTTCAACGGATTTCAATTACAAACCTCCGCAGAACATACCAGAAGGTGAGCCTGTTTTCTCTCGGTTTGAAATGCAACACTAGAACTATTAAGTGACAGAACTCTTTCCGTTATGCACGATTCTCACGTAAAAGGACAGCTGCTCTGGCAGAGTCAGCTGAGACCCAGCCTCCCCAGCGACTGTCAGGGTTCACAGAGCCTAGGGTCAGCGCTTGTTTAAGGAAGTTGGGTCTCGAGAATTAAAACTAAATTTTATTAAAATTTACTGTTAAGATTCTGAGCCCAGAATCAAATGTTTTTCCTCAACTTTATTACTGCTCATAGCTTCACCTCTTATGCACGTCTTGCCCCATAACAAAGTTCAGGAGATGGAGGTGTCACGACCGCGGCTGCCTTCTCTAGGATGTGGGGTGCAGGTGACACCACCTCTGCCTCCAAGTATGAAGTTTACACTTTCAAAACCCTCCCACCCATTTTAAGAATGTATGCAAGAAGACACAGCTTCTCACACTATGTATTTGAAGAGTGGCAACATGTCGTCACTGCTCAGGGGAGTCCCTGACCTCCTTTCCTCTGGGACCAGAACCAAAAAGAATAAATGGTTCTTTGGGTCGTCTGTGAAGTCTCCTCATGTTTATTACAACTGGCCTGGATCAATATTTATTTTTGTATTTAAAATACAGCTTCAAAAATAAAACGAAGGTTGCACAATATTTTGAATATTCAGAGAAAGCTCTAAATCTCATCCTTTTTTTCCCCAAAATAAGATTTTTTAAAATTTAGCTTTAATGTAGGAAAGTATATTTTTAAGTCTGTTCCTTGAGCTATTGGTAGTGACTATTTGAACAAAAAATTAAAAGGGCTGCAGTTTGAAAAATGCTAGTTAAATTTGGAAGCTAGAAGGTGCTTGAGGGTGTGGTGTGAGTGGGTGGGGAGGTGGCTGTGCCCAGCGGGCGTTAAAATCCCTGTTTACATCTTCCTTGCCCAGGCTCTGGCATCCTGCTGTTTATCTTCCACGCAAACTTTCTGGGTAAGGACGTGATTGCTCGGCTCTGTGGACCCTGCAGTGTGCAAGCTGTAGTTTTAAATGACAAATTTCAACTTCCTATTTTTCTGGTAAGAAAAAGTACATTTAAGACTTAAATTGCCGTTTTAATGAAAGTGTGTTAATTATAATTCATTAAACTAGTTGCTAGAAATGAGACAATACTGATAATCAGAAAGTAAAATTATCCTAAATTTTCGTTGAAAATCTAAAATATGCCTTTTCTCACCATCATACGTATATGTTTCCTTCGATTTGTTTTGAACATTTCTGTTTATACCTAAACACCACCACTGGACAAGCACTGGTTTTATGTAGCTTACTTTAAATGCTTACTTTTAGGTAATCATTATGCTATTATTTTGATTACATTTTTAAATACATATGTAACTACTAAATGCCCTTGAAGAATCTTTATGCATGATCCCTTTGCCACATTCAAAATTCTTAGGCTGAATTAAGAAACATTTAGTTACGAAGATCAACACTCGTGCTGTGTATGGCTGGGTCCATTCTAATCCTAAAGATTTATCTGGACATTGTTTTGTTATTTGTATCCTTTATTGCCTTGTATGAATTCAATTATAAAACTTGTATCTGTCATCATCACCAGAGTCTTAAGGTTATACCGTAGGTGTACAAATTGGAAGAAATGCTTTTTTTTTTTCTTTTTCCCTAGGATAGTCATTTTGTTTACTCCTTCAGCCCTGTGGCAGGCCTCAACAAGCTCTTCATAAGGCTGACAGAAGCACCCTCCGCTAAGGTGAAACACTTTCCCTCCTGCTGTCCCCAAACTGCTGGGTGCACCTGTCTGAGTGAGATACATGCTTGACATTCAGGGTGTGTCGGTGCAGGGACGGGGGGCGTCTAGCAGTCTGAGCTGCTGTGTGGCCTGGGCTTTGGTATTTCATCACCATCGTATGTCCCTTGGCTGGTCACCAACCTCTCTGTGAAATGAAGCTGGACTAGACGGGACTATCTGTGTGGTAGTACAATTCTCTAAGTAAAAATCAAATTATAAGCACTTGAATTTATTCAAGCAGGTGACCATTCCAGCCACCTAACCTGATACCCCATCAGGACATCGCAGTAGGGAGACGGCTCTGGGCATGGGTGCCACTCCTGCTGACCCGTGTGTGCATTCATTCCTCCAGGTGAAGCTGTTAATCGGTGCGTACAGAGTGCAGCTGCAGTGACCAAGCCAAGGCCTGGGGTGGACTGAAGGGACGGACTGACCTTCACACTTCAAATACTGTCCCTAAAGCAGCTGAGGACTCTGGCACAGCCAACACTCACGCCTACATTTAAAGTCTGTAAATCTCGTGCAGTTTAAGGCCTGTCACTTGTCACAGTCTCTTAAGATGGGACACGGTGTTCTAATGTCATAAAATATAAATGTAAGTATTTGTGCTAGCATTCTGAAGTCTTGGTGTTGTGTCCAGGCTGCATATTTCTGTTTCCACAATGTGGAATTGTACCTATGAGGACTGTCTCCTTTTTTTAACTAAGTTTCTACTGTCCTGGTGAATTTGTGTTGCTCCACGCATTAAGCAAAGCGTGAATCTGCTGCCTTTGCAGCCTCATCTGCTGCTAACGTGCAGTTGCTCATGTCTCGAGCTGGAGGCGACAACTTGGTATTTTTCCAGTTATCCTTTTTTTGAAGAGATAAAAGCAAAAAATGTCAACCAGGACATCGTGAGGTATAAAAGGACGTTTAACCTTGCTTACAGCTATCCTGTACCCTTCCTTTGAGCACTGGCAAGGCCAGCCAGCTTTGCCACTGCCTCGGGTGACGAGTTACTGCCACCACTGATTCTCCACAGGTCTAACTCTGACTCCATTTAAAATTGTGAATTATTTTTCAGAATGTCACATTGGACTCGCACACATTGTGTTGCCATTTTTACTTTCTGGTTTTCTCAATAAAACAACACAATGTTGATCTACTTTCTTTGTTTTAAAACGGTGGGTACCGAGGGTGCCGTGCTTTGGCTACTCAGCTTTGATGCCGTGTGGTATCTGCTGACTTGAGTTAGCAACGGTGCAGAGACCAGGAGCAGGAGTGCCTCGTTCAATACATATAAGGAAAGCGGGTTTTTAAAGAAAATTTCTGTTATCTCAAAATCCTGCCTAAGATAAGGTTACAAGGACATTGAGTAACGAGGACATGCTGCTTACCAAGGAGGCACGGCCATCTCGGGTCAGAAACCTGAGACACCACGCAGCTGTAGCAAGTCCGCAAGGGCTACACCTTCAACAGCTGAAGTGTGATTAACAGGGAGTGGGGTAAGTCGTTTCAACTGAGCCAGGGCCCGGCAACATGAGAGCGCGCGATAGCTTGGGCCAACACGGCCCTGTGTCGGCTTCTGCCCACTTTGTGCTGGGTGTACTGGTAAGTCCTGTGTCTCCTAGGACTACAGTGCAGATGCATGCAACTTAACACAGTTTTGCTCCAAACGAGCGCTCGCTTCTGTGCAGCAGGTGAGAAGCACTGCTGCAGTTCCGGTTCCTTACCTGCACCACGTGTGGGCGGGCGATGGCTTCTCTGGCAAACAAGCGGTCCCCAGCAGCTACCTTATTAATGTGTGCAGGTGTGCACAGTGCTGCAGACGGGCGCGGCACAGGACACGTGTCTGAGCTGCTCATCGCAGCCACGGGCCATCTCGTGACTTGGCGTCATCACAGAGGGGATGCATCACTCTGGCCAAACTCCCTGAAAAGCAATTAGTGCACAGCTTTTTACTTCAAATTGATCTTGCCTCAAAGAAAACTCACTGCTCAGCCATTACTTCCAGTGTCTGCTGACGAAAGGACAGGTAAGTGGGCAGAGCATGGGTGCAGCTCGCTGCCCACTGTTCAGATCTGGTCCGCCCGGAGTGCTCGCAGACGGCGTGGCACACGTGCTTTACCTGCAGCACATGGTCCAGAGCCAGGCCCGCCACGCTCACTAAATGTGCCACTGCCATGACATGGCAGGCGGTCAGTCCAGGAACAGGAAATTATCCCAATTCAGACACTCTTCTCTCCAGTCACACCCATCGGCTTTCTCAGATTCAGAACGTGCAGGATTGGTTCGGTGGAAGGTCAGGAGGCTGCTGTTAGAACTGCAGTTACAGGGACTCCCAGAGCTGGCAAGGGCGCATCCAGAATGCCAACAGTGAGCGACCTACAGAATGCGTTTTCTGTGAGAGCACAGTCCTTGAGCAAAGGCTGGGAGAAATGGAACCGTGCAGGCTGGTGAGCAAAGAGCAGGGGAAGCAGGACGTACGCACCGGAACCGCCAAGAGTGGTGAAAATTTCGAGACTTTTCATACTGTTTCATCACATAAGACTGTATAAACTCTAAAGATTACTTTAAAATCTGCTGAGTTCCAGGGACGGCTGATGGAGGCCACTCCACTTCCTCCGTCCTGTGTTGATCTGCAGGTGATGCCCCTCACACCAACCCCAATGTCCTCGGGTCCAGCTCCTCCCTCCAGGACACCGGAGCCTTACCAACCAGGAAGCTGGGCCCAGAGACACCATGGTTGGTGTGAGGGGCATCACATGCAGGTCTGCCTGTCACCCTCAGCTCCCAGAGGCCGCCAGGTGGGATCTAACTGCCATCTGTCACTCGACAACATAGTACTTCTGTCTTACCACTCATTATTTGCTTTCCTTGGGACTGACCCAAAATTCCAGGTTATATGGGGCAGTAAAAACCCCTCTAGTGTGTCACGGAGAGGGCGCCTGTCAGTTGCTAGGCTGCCACCGTGACACTTCACACACTGACCAGCAAGACCGTGCCGGGGAGATGTGCATTTTTAAAACAAAAACTCTGGATTTTATGTAAAGTTTGCACTATTACATATTATCATTTTAACCATAGAAAATTTGTCCATGAGGTCTGATTTTTAAATGTCAAGCATTACTCTCTATGTAAACAATGAGCAGTTAATAAACTCACAAATGAAGGTGTGTTTAATCTGGCTTGTTCTGTGTCGTCACAAACATTTCATTATAAATAATCTGCTGTGCTGCAGTCAAACATTCATGAAGTGCATTAGTGTATTTGACCTGTGCAGTGTCCTTTGGCACCTGCTGGCTCTGTAAGCCGTACTGCATGAGCTTGTCTGGACACAGTCCCTGTGAGCACATGGCTGAGGGGCCACCTGCAGGCTGGGCTCCCACGGGTGCGAGAAGCACCGCTTCAAAGGACAGCCTGAAGATGGTGTTTTTAATAACATTCCTGAAGGAGGAGACTGCCACGTCACTTCCCTCTGCGGGAATTAAATGCGTATTTGGTATTTTACTAATTTAATAAAATTTAGTGTCTTCCTGGAATGAACCAGTTTTTCATTGACGAAGCAAGTTACTTTACCAGCATTCACTCGTTTTTCACCAAATTTAACTTCAAAATCCTACAGCCCCAGTGACAAAATCCCCTCTCCAGGCTGACAAGTGCTGTCAGCCATAGTCAGTGGTCCTCCAGAGGAAAGCAGACCACAGGGGGGCTTTCAGAATAGCTGCTGGGTGGGTCCCATCCCTAGTTTGCTTCGTTGAGCAGGTGGGCCTGAGAATGTATGTTCCTACGCTCCCAAGTGACAGTGATCCTAGGGACCAGCTCTGAGAGCCACTGCCCAGCGTAATTCTCTATGGCTGGATAACAGCACCCAGAGTAGCTGTCCTGTTTTTGTGCAGCATGAGGTGCCACGTTAAGGTTCGACTCTGAAAGGCAAGTTGTGCCCACATTGGGGCCTGCTGCTGTGCCCACTAGCCCCTGGGTCCTGGGGAAATGCAGTCGGCCTAGGGATGTGTCATCCTGACACGCCACACTGCCAAGGAGCTCGCGAGGCAGACGCCCTGTCCCCAGGTCACAGTTTGAGCAACCAGAAAAGAATGGAGTGCTGACTGCCACGTAAGGGCTGCACAAGGTAACACTTTGTGGATCTATCAGGATGGCAATACATCATTGGAATTCTGACAGATCAGAACGTGTGAGTGTTCCCAAGTTTTATGTCTAACCTAACAAAATAACAGAAAACCTGTGACCCTCTGCAAAGGGGAGAAGCAGCTTCTGGCCCTTGTGTGGGGCGGAGCCTCTGACACTACACCCCTTTAAGACGACACGCTCTCCGGAAGGGCACGAGACTATCATTTTAGGCTTTGGATCACTAAACACCAAGAGGGAACTTGTTTCCTGTAGTGAACACACTGAATGTGTCATTTTCAGTCCCAGCCCAGTTTTTCCTAAAGACACATATAGACAGACATGACTACCCGCGAGGAAAGACGACAGCGAAGTGCAGCTAAAAACCCCTCCGCCCTGGCTCAGAGGACAGGGCGGTAACCCTAGGGGTCCCCAAAGACGGCCGGCCGATAAGCAGAGGTTTCACTTTCCACCACAAACTATTTGCTGGCATTCCACCGACTCAAAGCACAAGCACCAACACAAATGTTCACGTCGTCAACCATCGGCATCCAGAAAAACGAACGAAGACACCAGAAGGAAGGGACGAGCCGTCGCAACAGACCCCGACCTACCTCAAAGACGCCAGGACGCCAGCATGCCCTGTCCTTGTGCTGATCTGTGATGGAGGGCGAACTACAGGCAGCTCATCCACGTGTTCTTTTATCCTCCTAGAATACAACAAAATCGTATTCAGCCTTCAGAAAGACAGTTTCAATCATCCATCTTAAAAGCTGCTGTAACTCAGTTCTTAAAGCTCTTAGAAGCATCAGTGCTGCTTAACCTTCTCGTTTGAGGACTTCGTTCTGTGAGGTTCCCCTTCACGTCCTCAAAGAACTTCAACCAACTTAAAATATACTCGATCTTATGTTTTGGCATTAAACAGTTAAATCCTAAACACAAAATCTTCAAGTCTGCTAATGATTTTAAAATATTGGGTCTATTTTGTAAGCCCTCATATTTCCATAGGTAGGTCCTCTTGAAAAGCTTGGAACCTTAAAATCAAAAGCCCTGCACAGAATCCTGATTCCTCCTGCGTCTACAAGATTTTATTCTGCTCATACCGAGGCAGGGCACACAGCATGTGCTCCACAGAACAGACTGTCCTACCTCTCAACTAACACCCTGGGCCAGCGCTCTTCCAAGCCAGCGTGCGCCTAGAGTTTTCACTAAGGTACAGGCTTATATTTGTTACCTCATCCTTATAAAATGTGTCTTCTAACCAGTATACCTGGAATACTAGCACAGCACACAATTACAATTCAGAAATAAGAGATCTGTGCTGAATTTGTTAGGGGTACATGACCCAAAATACTAGAAATGATTCTCTAGATTAGCACTGTTTTCAAAGTACATGAGTCTCAAATTCACTTGAGAATTGGCTGAAGTATGAACCGCCTTCCCCCCCGCCTCCCTCCACAAAAGACACAGGCAAAACTGCATGCAATTTAAGGGGTATGTAGGTTCCTACAATACATCTCGATTATCCAGCAGGACCCATCGTCCCAGGTATAAAACCTTAAAATATTTTTTCAAATAAGGCATGTTGTAACAAAAAAAACATTGTTTACATATTTGCGCCTGTGGCTAGCACCTGATACTTTCTGGGTGCCTGCTCCTAACGCCAATAGCATTCTGGGACTGGCCTTATAAATTGATTGCTCTGTACGCATCACCTTCAGTCAAGTTAAGGCTGACGAGAATAAATGAACCATAACCAAACTGAAATGGATTACTTCTTAATGCTACAATGATACCAGGACTATGAAACATTTTAATTTCAAAAAAGTGAACATGCAATTTACAAAGCATTAAACACATACTGAGTCCTAAAAACGTAACCTCTAAAAGTTAGCCAAGTTCTAGTTAGTCTTATTTAAAAAGGTGGCTCATCCTTATACTTGAGTCCAATATCCAAAGACTAGAGTTCTGAGACCGGGCATATAGTCAGCAGTGATAAGGCAACCACAGTGAGCCACCGCACACGCACGCCCTTCCGTGGAGCTCGTACTCCATGGCGGCCTAGAGTGCTCATGTACAAAGACAGAAGGACTTTACTATTTCTGATCCTGAAGAATACCTATCGCCATCAAAGTGACACTGCCAAATATGAAAACAATAATTGCATTAAAAGGTTTCCCGTAACTGAAATCTTAAAGCATAACTGTGAAAGGACTATACGACTCCAAGTTGGACAAAAGTAATGTTTTCAATTTATTTTAGGATAAAACTGGGACAGGAAGAAGCAACTGCCAGTTAACGCTGGGTTTTATCTCCCGCTCCAAAACACCTGACTTGTTAAGAATGAAAAGGCTTCTCTAACCATAGCCTAAGGTTTCTCACAGTGTGAAGAGCCAATGCCACCCACGCGTCCCTCTAAGAATAAAACATGGGTGATGTGCTGGCTCATTCTCAGTAGTCAATCGGGTGACGATGCCCCTGACACCCTCCCTCCGCCTTGGAGCTGGGGACGGCATCCTCTCCACTGAGCACACCAGGCCACTACGTCAATGTCACTTACCGTTCATACTACGTGATACGTAAATTACATAAATAGGAATACTTTCCAAGAAAGGAATGTTTCAAACATAGATAACATAACTCAACAAGCACAGAGGCTGAGCAGCACTCTCGAAGCTGTTCAAATTACAATGTATGACTGTAAAAACCAGCAAAGCAGGATTTTAATAACAGCTGGTGTTGAAAATACCTTGCCAGACATCACCCTACAAGGCAGGTCGCTCTGATGCGGACTCCACGTCTTACGGCGCGACCACCAGACCTGCCAGGCACCGCTCACAGCGGACTCTGACCCTCTGCCTCCGAGACAGACGTGAGTACAGTGACATGCCATTGATACGGGCGATTCACAGCGGGCAAGCTGCCCGTACACACTGAAGCCACCCATTCCAGTATTAACTGACTGGATCTTTTGAGTGCAAGAAAACAGTGTTTGAATAAAATAATCACATCAAAAAGATTAAGGCTCAAAATTCAAAAACCAATTCCCAAGGAAACTTGAAAAAACGCCCATGAAAGTAGTGACTGTAAAACACTTGACAGTACTAACCTACAAGCTCATTCTGCTTCACCAGTAACACAATTTCAACTAGTGAACAAATGATGAATATGATTTCAATATAACTTAAATGTTTAATTGGAAATGAGAAAGTCAAAAAATGTCTCCACATTTAACTTGCACATGACTCTTGCATTGAAAATTTGCAATAAAATGAAAATAGCAAACTAAGGCTTTGGTTTTCAATCAAATCAGTGCACCTTCCATGCAAATTAATAAAAATTCAATGATACAATGAATAACTTCCACATTTCAGCTGTCATTCTGTAAAAAGCAAAATCCATAATAGGAACATTCAATTCTGGATTCCCAACGACAGCTGGCTTTTCAGAATTCTAATAGAGCTACCGATGTGGGTATTTTTACATCACAGGTTATACACAAGTTTTCCATCGGATAGCAATGAAACCACACAACCTAGTTATAAACAGCTGTGAGGGTATGGTAAGTAGAGACAGGCAAAAGCATCTCATAAAAGGTATCTGAAGGGTGAAGAGGAGTCTAAGGCACGCAACATGAGAAGCCACCAGGGAAAAAGCACACTGACACCACAAACGTACCTTGCACGCCCACCCTGGCGCTACGTCTGGCATGGCCGACGGTACTGGGCAGCTGCAAAAGGTGGAGGACCAGAGCCCACCACACTGCCTATGGGAGGATGAGGCAGGACACGCACTCCAGGAAACTGTTCGACAGTTTCTACACTCAGCAATTCCTAGATTTCCCCCCAAGAAAAACGAAGTGTACAGATGATGTGTACAAGAACGCTCACCATAGCTTTATTCATTGTAACCCCAAAATGGAAATCGCTCCAGGAGTGTGGCCATAGGGGGCTGGACGAACAAAATGCAGCACATCCATGCAGTGGCCAGGTACAAACCCTGATGCCTGAGAGAGGCCAGAGGCGAGAGTCCATTTACAGGATG